CTGTATTACAACAAAATTTACACATTTTGTGTTTTATTGCTCCCTTAGATCTTATTACTCTTTTTTTTTGCAAGAGAATAAAATCAAGCATGATAAAACAAAGCTGTCAGTCAAAACCAAGGATAGACATAGCACATGATGTAAAAACAGAGTATAAGGTTATCAACAATGGGTACCATAATGCCTCTTGCTTCCTTAAGAAGAACTGTCTTTCTCATTAGGTATTGTAAAGTTAAATAAAACAGTAGAGAACAAGACCAATAACACCTAAACTTTGTAAATCTTACAGAACTTCAAAAGAGGATAATAGTCAAACCAGAATGGGCACCATAGTGAATCTTATAGCCTTCGAAGTAGTTGCCTGTACTCTGATACTTGATACTTTCATACAGAACAGAATAGAGTCTAATCAGTCAAAACAAGATAACGGGGGGTATTGCAGGAATTCAAGGTTGCTGAAAGTGTCATGCTTTAACCTGTATTGTTATGTTGTTATGCCCCCTTTTATCTCAACTTCTCCCTTATTCATTAAATATTAATTAATTTTTTAAATTTCTATTTTAAACTAAGGGGAAAAAAAATCCATGCTCTTCTTGACTCTATTGTTTGTGCTGAGAAGTCTGCTGTGATTCTGATAGGTTTTCCTTTATAGATGATCTGTCTTTTCTCTCTGACAGCTTTCAATATTCTATTCTTCTGTTTGATTTCTGGGATGATCATTATTATGTCTGGGTATATTTTTATTTTGGGTATGGCTATTTGGACTTCTGGATGCTTCATTGATCTTGATATCAGTTTCTAATCTTGTGTTTGAGAAATTTTCAGCTATTACTTTTCTAAATATCCTCTTGACATCCTTTATGTTGTCCCCTTCTTTTTCATTTATCCCTATCAAACTTATCTTGTTCCTCTTTGCATCATCTTGCAGGTGTTGAATTGTTATTTCCTGATTTCTTGTTACTTTTAAAAGATCTTTCCTTTCCTGTTCACTGGCTGCAATCTTGCCTTCAAGGTCTGAGATTCTATCTTCACATTCATTGAGACGGTTTTTACAACTTTCAGTGGAGTTTTTGATTTCCTGTGTATCTTTTTGCATCTGCTTTATATTTTCTGTTTGTTTCTTATATTGTTCATCCAGGGATTCTATGTTTTTGTTTAGTTCCTCCAATTTTTTAACTGTGTCTTCTTTCGATATGTTCAGCATTTCCTTCATTTCTTTTATCATTTCTTCTTTTACCTGAGAGATTATTTCTAGTTTGAATTCCTTTAAGGCTTCTCAGAGTTGCTTCTTTATTTCAGTTACTATTATTTCAGGCATTTCAGGTATGTGGCATGTATTTTCTTCTATGCTCATGGCTCCTAGGCTTTCCTGGGATGGGCTGGATATGTGAGATTGCATTTTGGTCTTTTGTTTTGTCATTTTCCTATATTTTTGAGCTTCAAGTGTTGTTCCAAGTGAGGGAGAGAGGACCCACCAGGCTGTGATGGAGTTCCGAAAGGGGTTCCGTGGCTCAACTGGACTCACTTTTCCTGGCAGCAAGCCCCCAGGTGAGCGAGAGTGCTCAGCCAGGCTGGGACATGATTCCATGTCTGTTCCCCACTCTCTGGTCCCAGCAGGGAACCAAGGCCTGGCTGCCAGGTGAGGAAGAGAGTTCCCCCAGACTGGGACAGTATTCCACGTGTCCCTACTCACTGGTCCCGGCAGGGAACTGCGGCCTGGCCCCCAGGCGAGGAAGGGTTCCGCCACACTGGAAGGGGATTCCATGCCTTGTCCCCACTCACTGGTCCTGGCAGGAAACTGCAGGCTGGTCCCCAGGCTAGGAAGAGATTTTCTCCAGACTGGGACCAGATTCTGCACCTGGTCCCCACTCACTGGTCCCAGCAGGAAACTGCGGGCTGGTCCCCAGGCAAAGAAGAGAGTTCCAGCACACTAGGACGGGATTCCATGTGTCATCCCTGCTCACTGGTCCGGGCAGGAATCTCAATTCTTTGTTTTTCCTTAAGGGTGTTCTTTCAGCTAGTATGTGATGTATTTTGCAGAAAAACGCCATGTACTGCTAAGAAAAATATGTATTATATTGTTAGTGAAACTTTCTGTAGGTATCTGCTAATTTCATTTGCTCCAAGCTTTGTTTAACATTTAGTATTTCTTTATTGAATTGTTGTCTAGTTCATCTATGTATGCGTAGAAGTGGGGTTCTCTAGTACTGATTTTCTGATTTTTCACATGTATTACTGTTTGTCTTACATAATTTGTTATGCCTGTATTTGGCGTATATATGTATATATTTATGGTTTTTACCTCATCCTCTGGATTATTTGTTTAACAAATATGTAATGACCTTTGTCTCCTTTTATCAGTCCTACCTTGAAATTCACTTTGTCTGCAAATGGAACAGCTGCATCTGCATTTTTCTGTGTTTCTCTGGCGTGGAATATTGTTTTCAGTCCTTTGACTTTCAGTTAATGAATTTCTTTTTGAGTTAGCTATGTTTCTTTTATGCAGCATGTTATTGGATCTTGTTTCTTGATGCCTTTGAAAATCTGTTTCTTTTGATAGGTAAACTGACATTATTCACATTGTTGGTCATAACTGATAGGTACTAATTTACTCTCATCATATCATTTTCCTGTTTCTGGTTGCATTTCTCCTACATTTATTTGCTTGCCTTACCTGGTGGTTTCATTTCATTTGGATACTTGGAGTTGTTTTCTTTGTTGTCACTTTCTAAAACATCCTTGTAACATTTTAGAGTACTTGTTTGGGGTTCATAAAAAAAGATTCTTATTTCATCAATTTTGAAAAATAACACTGGAATACAACAATCTGGGCTGGAGGTTGTTGTCTTTTAGGGTTTGAAATTCTTATTTACATGTTTTCCTTGAATTAATGGTTTGTGTTTAAAAAATCTGCTGACATTCTGATATGGGTTTGTTTATAGGTGATTTCTTTATTTTCATTAATTCCATTAAAAATTCCATTGTTTTGTTGAACTTTGAGAATCTTTGCTACTATATGTTTTGATGCAGTTTTTTTTCTGAACAATTTTGAGTTTTATATGCCTCACTTAAGTATATGTAAAATTCTTTTCCATGCGTGGAAAATGTTCTGTTATTACTTTTGCGAACAGTTTTTTATACCCTTTGTACTATCTTTCAATTCTTTTCATTGATTCCAGTTAATTTTATATTATTCTTTGTATCATCTAGCAGCTGTTTATGTGATTGTATCAAAATATTATATAGTATTTTATTTCTTGACATTTGAATTTCATTCTTTGTTACCTTTTTGTTGTATTTATTAATTTTAATTAAGAAACTTCATTTATTTTTCACAGCATGCTAACTTTCGAGTTTATATTACATTTTTCACAGCATGCTAACTTTCGAATTTATATTACATTTTTTTTAACTTGGCCTAATGTTCTCTTTTGTTTTCTGCAAATAATTTTTCATATTTAAAAATGTTCTTTGCATCTACAGAACATGAATCCTTCAAGCATTTATTTGATATAGTGTTTGCAGTACAATTCAGTATATAGCATTAGGAACATATAAAAATAGATTTTTGAGTCTTCAAGCGAAGCATTGATTATCTGACATTCTTGCATTCAAAGGTGTTCCAAATTTCAGTCTGTTTTTCTGATATTACAGTATTGAGATAGACTTTACCACCTGAGTATTGCTAACCTGCACATTGGACATCCAACAATGTTTGAAATTCCAAAAGCTTTGAGCACCAACATGGCACTGAAAACTTTTGAGATTTTGAAACATTTTCAAATTCTAGATTTTCAGTTGAGGATGCTCAACCTGTACTGTACAACCAAAGAATATTAAAAAGAGTGGATAAATGAATGCAAGGGTACACTGTGTGTATTATAATTGCGTGGAACAATAGAGTGATGAGTGTGGTAAGTTTAAGGAATAATTCTTGAATATGAAATGTAAACTAGATTTCTAATATATGTGGTCATGTTTGGAAATGGGAAATGTTAGTATTTTGGGGAGTGGAAAGAAAAAAACATTTAAAAACATGATATGGAACAAAATGTGGATATTGCTGTTGCTAACTTTGATATTAGAAATACTATGTTAAAAAGTTGGAAGAGATCAGATGAAAGGTTTAAGCAAATTGAGAATTTGTTTAAATGTAGAAAGAGGAAGATTTTTTCAGGGGCACAATTTAGATCTGATTGAACGAAATGCTAATGCTAGTACTTGAGCAACCAATTTGCAGATGTTCCCTTATAAGAGTCTGTCAAATATAAGGTGTTGGAACAGTATTGACCAGTACATCAAATAAATGAAAATAGTAGCTCTGTTTGAGAGAATTTCATGGTGTAGGTAGAATGAATGGGAAGCTGGTGCATCAATCAGTACAATGATGGACTAAGAAGGTTTATTCTAATAGTAACTTTGAAAATAGAGTTTCAGTATATTAATGACATTAATACTAAAATGGTATATGGAAGGAATGAATACAGAAATATCTTGTTAGATATGATATTGTGACAACCTGGTGTTTTATTTTTGTGTTTTTCCCACTTACCTGAAGATATTTCTCTCACACTATCAAGTCAAATATTCCTTGGTAATAATCATCATTGATAAATATTGTTGAGCATTTATATTTCCCATTCATTATTCCAAGTTCTTTGAATGAAATACTTCATTTAATTTTCAAAGCCAGATACTATGTGGCATTATCTTGATATAGGTGTATAATTTGGATCTCAGAAGGAGTAACACAGATCTGTTAATTCTTAAAGCTGTGCTGTGTTGCTTCTAAAACTCAGTTCCTATGTTTTCTTAAAATTTATAAAAATGTACATGTATCATGATGTCCTAAATCCTGAAATATTTATTTTTGAAATATGTTTCATATTATATTTAAAGCTTACATGTTTAATGTTTGAATCCTACATGGCAACATGTAACAAGTAGAACAGTATACAAATGTGAAAAGTAAATTATTGATTATTATTGTCATTTATTAGTCAGAATTTGCATGAAGATATTGAAGAAACTGGTGCACTGCAGAAAAATCATGCTTCTGTGACATCTGCAAACTCCACAGAAGCTGCAGATCCTAACTGTCTGTCTACAGAAGAAGTGTCATTAAGCCCTCTGAACAGCGAAGTGACTGCATATCAAACCCCAAACAGTGATACAGAAGTTGCCCCAGAAGTAAATGATGCTGAAGTGACAGGGAAGAAAGAAAGCCATAGTGATGATAAAACTTCAGAGGAGGAAACAAGTAAAAATAAGTCTACAGCAGAGGACAGTACAGAACAATTGAAGAAAAATAGAATTGCTTATTCTCAGATTATTAAAGAAGGCAGGCGATTTAATATTGATTTAGTATCAAAGGTACGTAGCAATTTTAACCATTTTATTATAAAACATTAACTTCTAATTTATTGAAAAAGATATCCTCACCTATAAATCCTAGATCTTAGCAAGGTTCAAACTCAGGAGTTTCAGGTCAGTTGAAATATATGTCTCATCAAGAAATATATCTCAATTGGAAGAATTAGTGTAAACCATTAAATTGCTTATGTAAGAAAATGAATGGCAATGATAGGAACAAAGCATTGGAATAAATAACTGAAACAATTGGGAAGACTTTGAAGGAGATATTTGGATGTTTTTATAGATTTAGATGGTTACTTTGTTTCCTTGGTGTAAGAAAGAAAAGTGGAGAGAGTTGACTATGAAGTCATAATTTGTCTTGTACAGTTTCCATATTAAAACAAAAACAAAAACATTTACTTTGCTCCTTTTGCAAAAGTAGAAGTATGCAAAGAATGTTTTAAATGCTCCTTTTGCAAAAGTAGAAGTATGCAAAGAATGTTTCTTTAAATATTAGTCACTTAATGCTGATTTACTCAATTCCTGCTATATTGAGAATAGTATATTCTATTTTGTGGCTTAATCAGTTATTCCCTGGAAATTTTGTCTGTTCTAATAATTGAAGGTTTTACATAAATGTTTAGGTTGATTACCATATATCTTATCTTAAGCCCTCTCTTTTTTCTAAAGTCCCCTGAAGTTTCTAGTTGAAGTTTCAACAGATATTGCATCTCAAAGTCATCATGGTATAATTTAACAAGTAGAGGAGGGGTTTATGGTGTATAAAACACACACACACACACGTATGTATATATAGCCTTTTTTGCATGTGGTACTAGGGATTGAACTCAGGACTTTTGTACTGAGCTATATCCCCAGCCTTTTCACTGTATTTTATTCATTATTATTATTATTATTATTATTATTATTTTGAAACAGGGCTTCCCTAAGTTGCCATGATTGGGCTTTGGCCTTTCATTCTCTTGCCTCAGCCTCCAAGAATGCTGTTATTATAAGGATACATCATCATGCCCAGCATATATAGCTTTTTAAATGACAACTCAGCATAAACTAGTTAGTTAAAATCTATATAGTATTCCACTGTTCAGACTAAAAAAGAAAATAAAAACAAATACATTTCTATAATAAAATCTCATTTTGTCAATTTATTCCTTTAAATAATTATGAAGATACTGTGCAAAGTAAAACAAAACTTGTTAGTGATTATAGATATTTACCAGTTTTTTAATCAAATTGTAGTGTTTCTTAGCCTGTCATCACTGTGAAATTGCCATGATATATCAAAAAGAGGGTGATAAAAAGGTAGTTATGTTTAAATATATATTTGGTAGTATTGGGCTTCATGTTTTTGAAATTATTATGGCTACTGAGGAATACTTAAATCTCAAATACTTTTTTTGTACAAATAAGGTTTTCTTAGGTATCTGTTTATTCTACAATTAACAATTGACAATATATTATAAAATAGGCTTATATCAGTTTTTTAGTATGCTAGGAATAAAGTAATGATTAAAAATGTCATATTTATTAGGATATTGATACTAACTTAAGAATACATTGAATATTCTGCACAATGCTGAACTAAAATGATCACTTGTAGAATATCACTAAACTAAGAGACTGAAAGTCTTTTTTTTTCTTAGAAGTTCATGCTTTTGTTAGGTTTGTTTTTTGAGAATTTCTTTCTATTTGTATCATAAAACAAATTTTATTTTGCCACTTAGCCATGCAACATTTATTTATACACATTATATAAAGATATGTTGATTACAGAAAATAGACAAGTCTATTTCGTTTAATAACATAGCTAAATTTAAAACAAGTTAGATAATACTGTTTAAATTATTGTGTTTATCTTTCTAATAGTTATGAGAAATGCTGAAAGATTAGTCAATTCCCTATATACATGCTGACACTAACAATCTTCATTTCTTGACAAAGATATACCTCACAAAAACCTAGACATCTAGGATTATTGAAGAACCTTATAATTTCACTCATTGGAAACACACCAAATGTCTTCTTTTGGTGTACTGGGTTGGTCTACTGATTGACTTTTTCTTTTAACCTCCTGGCTTTATATTGGTCTGTAGTCCCTTATTCAAAACTCTGAAGTCTTGGTGTGTTGTGTATTGAGGTTTTTTTTTTTTTTTTTTTTTTTTTTTTTTCATGTGCTGTAATAAGGAGCCACTCAGCAACCTAACAGGAAAACACATTAACATTGCTTCAGTGAAATGAATATTCATATTTGTTGGGACAAGGATAGAAAGGGCTTAACAGCAATTTGGGTCAGGTTTTCTGGCCAAAATACTTATGAAAAAAGACCTGTATGTTATAGAGGTTTTTGGATTTTGAATTTCAGATAGTGAATTGTGAACCTCTAGTAAATTGCATTATACATAATATTTATAAGTATAGTTTTTTTCATAGCTAACTTTAAAATCTATCAAGTATATATATATATATATATATATATAATTTGTGTTCATCTTTTTTCCATTTTTTTTCCTTTTATCCTCTAAAATATTTTCTTTTTACAGCTACTATATTCTAGGGGTTTGCTGATTGATCTTTTAATCAAATCTAATGTTAGTCGTTATGCAGAGTTCAAAAATATTACCAGGATTCTTTCATTTCGAGAAGGAAGAGTGGAACAGGTACTGTTCTGATCTGGTATTATATATGTGAATGAGTTTTAAGATTTTATGGTCTATTTTGAAAGGATGAAAGAACAAGACTGCTATTTTTCTAGTAAGGGAGTTACTTCCAATCATGTATAGTGTTTTACAAATTTAAATGAAAAGAATTGCTTAGTAAAATTTCTAACTAATATTTTCATGAGTTACAATAACTCTTGGTTCATGAACACTTTGGTTTGTGAATAATTCAGTTCACGAAAAGAGCATTAGGCAGATTTTTCTTTGTGTTCTCAAACTACGTTAGGTGAGAAACATGATGTTAACCCTTTTCCCTGCATGAACACCAATGTAGCCATCTTCTCCAGAGTTGTGGAATGAATTAAATTCATAAACCGAGTTATCACAGTACCAGGCTGAACTGGTAGATTTGAATTACTGTAATTTATTCCGTCTTAAAGGTGATATGCCTTTGGCCTTTTAATGGTGTGAACAACAACTTACAAGAATTAAGAGTTCTACAATAAGCTTTGATGTTAACAGAGATGACATTAGAATTGATGGATGGTAACATTAAACAACTGGACTAGAAAGGAAGTAATAATCCTATGAAATGTGAAAGGGAAAATGTAATTTGAAATACAAGTGTCATTGAGAAGCGTTTTTTAACTGAAAATCTTAATATTTTTTAGGTTCCTTGTTCCAGAGCAGATGTCTTTAATAACAGACACCTCACTGTAATAGAAAAACGAATGCTCATGAAATTTCTTACATTTTGTATGGAATATGAGGAACATCCTGATGAATATAAAGGTGAATATAAAGGTGTTGTTGTTCATTAAATTGTGTTCTCCAATTAATTGAGTTTTTATTTACTTGACAAAGTTTAGTGAGTTACTTATTACTTTAAAAATGCATCATAATTTTTTGTCATGGAATTATTATATCATACCAGTAATTGTCCAGTAATATCATTTTTGTTCTTGATTTAAAAGATTCCTTTATAGTTATCCCTTATGTTTGGATGTATGATAATATGGCAGTGTTCCCAATTCCAGTAACCATATAAAAATTATTTTAGTTGCTTTTCAGTCGGTGTATCATTGTAAGTTTTAATAAGGGATATACACTTAACAAAAGTAAAATATTCCATCATTTCTGTCAATAGAATTCCATTTTATCATGTTTAATATTTTTAACTGTGACTATTGGTAGTATTTTGAAGTTATCAAAAAGATTATTGAAATTATTGCCAATTTCATTGAAGTACTGAGTTCTTTAATGATATTTTGTTACTTTAAATTTGTTAAACACTACACAATGATTCATCACCCAAAGCCTAAAATTATACCATCAGTCCAATTAAAGTAGAAAATTTATTCCTTTATCCTCCCTTAGTATCACCAGTCACTGTTCCAAATGAAATAATAATTATACCACCTATGTCCTTGGGAAGTGTATTAGCAGACTTGATTAAATTGTGTAAATTGATTTGAAATAATTTAGTTCTTATTTTAGTCACTAACTTTCATCTTTCTTTCCATAGCCTATGAGACAATAACATTTTCTGAATTTTTAAAAACTCAAAAATTAACCCCGAACCTCCAATATTTTGTTCTGCATTCGATTGCAATGACATCAGAAACAACCAGCAGTACCATAGATGGTCTCAAAGCTACCAAAAACTTTCTTCATTGTCTTGGGCGATATGGAAACACTCCATTTTTGTTTCCTTTGTATGGTCAAGGAGAACTCCCCCAGTGTTTCTGCAGGTAAGTTTCACATTAGTTTTCTGGTCTCTTCTGAAGACAATACTTGAACGATATGAAAATTATAAAAAAAATAAATATACATTCAGAATGTACTTTTGCAAACCTAGTATATTTCTAGATTTTCAATGTAAGAATCTTTGATTATGTTTCTTCTTACGTGTTCAAGAGTTTCTTTAGGATACATGTCTAGGGGTAAAATACTTTAATCATAGAATATATGAATATTTAACATTTTATACCATATTGCCCCATTGTTTCTCCAGACATTTGTACCAGTTACATCTTACTAATAGTGTGTGAGTTTCCAAAGTGTATAAGATGTTTGCCGCCATTTTAAAATGTTTGTCAGCCATGTCACATAAGTTATAATTTATATATATAAATAGATAGATAAAATATCATATATAGTACTTTCATGACCATTTGTGATTTTGAGCCTCTTCCTATATGTTTATTGACACTCATGGTTCAGAATAATGGTTGGTGAACCTATGGCATACATAATACAGCATGCTATTGGTGTCACAGAAAGTTCTAAAAAGTTTGTCATCATTGGTTTAAGATATCCTTCATCCATTTTTTTATTGAATTGCTGTCTTCCCTTATTGACTTGTAGTAATGTTTGTTTGGTGGCTTTTATGTACTGAATGTACTTTGTATTATCATATTGATGGTATTTGTAGGTCATTAAAATTGATCTAGTGAAATACAGAAAACTTAGCTTTTATCCTTTTTTAATGAGTTAAGATGCCCAGTAGTTAAAAAAAACCTGACAAAGAAGGCATACTACCAGGATTGAAGCTTTCTTAATTTTTTGGCGTATAGCCTTGTATAAGTTACAAACTTATAGAAATTAAATATGTAGTTTTTAACAAAAATTTCTCTATTTTATAGCTTATTAATTTCTGCTCTATTGTCTCCTTTGTTTTGATTTTGGGGGATTTATTGAGCTTATCTCTCCTCTTCCCTATCCATGGCTCTTATTAGGCTGAAACTCAGAGTTTAGTGCAGTTGACTCACCAAGGTTACAGTGGCTGCTTTCCTCTATCCCCATGAAGTTTGAAAATTCTGTGTATAGCTAGATTCCTCCTAAACTGTTCTGCCTCCCCATAGATGACCTGAAATCTTATTAATGTAAACAACCAAGTAACACATATTTTGTAAATTGTGCTTATACAGTGAAAAATATTTAACAAATGTGAAAGATCATTCATTGCTATAATATAAAATTTACTGGAAGGTTGAACTACTGAAAAGAGAAGATAATTAGTATCACTCAGTGATTTTAGGTAGATATTTTATAACCATTGAATTCACATTAGCAACAGGGAATGGGTATGGAATTATTACAGTAGTATACTATATGCTACAAGTAATTTTATGTGGTTATGATGTATTTGATAACATTTCTCTCCTTTTTGACATCAGTTTTGTTTTCTGGCCATAAAAGTTTGTCCAAGTTTGAACTATCTGTGGTACAAATTTTTAAATCTAAAACATGTACACTTTGGAATGGTAAGGTTTATCTTGTGCCATTGAATGTTGGGAGTGTTTCATTTTGTTTTCATTTGTACAGAGGTTAAAGCTAAGAGTTTGCATCAGATCTTGGCTTGGGACCTGGACTTTTCAGCAATGCCTAGGGGCAGGGTTGGTGATGTGAGTACTGCTCCCATCCATAGACGGGTAACTGATATACAGTATAATGGAAGGAAGGAAGTGTGTTTTTACCTTTTTACCCTTTTTGCTCTTGTTGCTTGTGGTTGCCATGGTAGTTGCAACTTAGCCATGACACTATGTCTTGGAACCAGCTGAGTATGGGATGAAACCTCCAAAAACTTTAATGTAAATGAATTTTTCCTGCCTTCATTTTGGGTGTCAGGTATTTTGTCCCAGAAATGAGAGAAAAGTAACCAAGACACCAGCTGGGGAGGGGAGGGGGTAGATGAGGGCAGACTCCTAGTCCCCATGGGCCTCACTGGAGGTTACTAGATGACTTGAGGTCACTGACCATGGACTCCTAGTTCCTGTTGGCCTCAAAGATGATTCCTGTATGTGGGCAGGTCGTGGGCAGGTCATTGGGAAGACTCTGAGTCCTTGCTGGCCTCACCAAGGGTTCCAGGATGCCTGCAGGTCACTGAGTATGGACTCCTGTTTCCCAGTGGTCTCACCAGTGGTTCTCTGGTATGGATAGATAACTGGGAGTGGACTCGCAGTCCTCCTCACAGGCCTCATCTAGGGTTCCTGGATGACAGTGGGTAACTGGGTGCAGACATCCAATCCCCATGAGCCTCACTGAGGTTTCCTGGATGACTGTGGGTCACTGCACAGAATCTGAGTACCCAAAGGCCTCACCAAGGGTTCCTGGATAACTGCAGGTCGCTGGTTACTGATGCGTTGTTGGGGTTAGACATGATGATTATTTTAGCTTTAAATGCAGTGCTCAAGAACTGCATTTTTGTGCTTTTTACCTACTTATAAAAGTTTACCTCTATTGCTGATTATCTCCAAGTAGCTCCTACTAACCAAAAAAAAATTTTTTTCTAAAGAGTGAATATGCAAAGAACTGGGCAGAATAGCCAAGCAGAGAGACAGTTCTTTATCAATATCCTCATTTTTCCCTGACACTTCTTACAAATCACTGGTTTTTGTCACAGTAACCTAAGATACATGAAGAAAATAGAGGTGAAAGAAAGATCAAATACCACCATTGTAAGCTACATGTTATTTCTCCTTCTGTTATTTATTTGTTTATTTATGTATTTATTGGTGCTGAGGATTGAACTCAGGACCTTGTGCTTCCCAGGGAGGCCCTGTCCTACTGAGCTATATCCTTGTACTTTATCTCCCTTGTTTAGTAGGTGAGCTTGATATGGGAAGAACATCCCAAGAAGAGCAATGTGTCAAATATAAACACACATTCAACTGTAGAAAATGTACAGTTGCAAACATTAATATTAAATAATCATGCTTTCCACAAACATAACTCATGTAAGTTCTCATTTAAAATTAAGAGAAAATTGAGTTGGATTGTCACCACTATGTCTGATTAGGCTTCTTTCTCTAATATTCCTTGCCACACACTTAACTGATTCTCAACATTAGATTCCTTTATTATGTAGAATTTATAAATATTTTGGAGACATTATTTAATCTGCAAATATCATACAAATTAATTTTCAGAGTCAAATTAATTATCATGTAAATTAATGTTGGTATTTAATACGTCTGTCATGTTGGTGCATGAGTATAACTTCAGCATTCTCAGAGACTGATACAGGAGGATCACACAGGTTCAAGCCTAACTCAAGCCACAGAGACTGAGCAAGACTCTGTTTCTAAATTAAATTTTAAAAAGGCTGCTTATGTAGCTCAGCATAAAGACCTTGAATTCGATTTCTAGTAATCGCAAAGTAAATTAATAGATGCTTGATATATAAGGTAACAATGAGTTTCATAAATACTGTGATATAAAGTGAAAGGTCTTTATAGAAAATAAATTCATTTTTATTTAAGTGTATTCCATGTGCTTTTGATAATATAGTAATACACTGTCACATAATATTTTATAATTTTTTAACTTTGTGCAACTTCTAATTTGATTCCTTTATTTTTCATAGAATCTAGGAAAACATTTAAAAGTAATTATTTTCCCCAAGGAGAAAGTGATACAATAGGATTAAATTTTCTCTTAGCGTGGTGTATGTGTGTGGGTGTGTGTATGTCTAGAACCAAACTAACCAAAATGAAAAACTCAATTGATTGTTGTAAACGTATTTATAGCTGCTTGTGAGGAGCTTGGAAATGCTGATGCTACTGTCACATGACATAAAGCCATCTCAAGGCAAATGAGATCATTGATTGTAAGGTCCATTTGGCGGTCTTAGCATAATTCAGCCTATGTATTTGGAGTGGTGCAGTAATGATTCACATGTATATAGTCTTTTTTTGCTAGCAATAGGAAATTGATAGCAAAGATTGGCTGATTGTCTTGATCTGAATTTCTTCTGAATTAAGCATTTGTCTGTAAACAACAGAAGCAGAAATATGTCTTGAAAAATGCAGATAAGCAATTGAAAATATTTTTTCTAACTTTTTTAGAAACTTATGGAGTGTAATGCCTCAAATTATACTGGGTGTGCCAGCATGATTAGTAAATACTATTGCATATTTTAATACATGATTCGTGAAAAAGACTACCAAGAAAAAAGAATATCTTACAGCTGCTGTGCTGCATAAAATTTATAGCCTTAACAGGTTTTCAAGCATGTAAAAGTTTTCATGCTGAAACTAATGTGTCCTTTATAATTCTAAGCTTTTCAATAGGGAATTTTTTTTTCCTTTTATCGCTGCTATTTGAGACCAGAAAGAATTATTATCTAACCTCTAACCTATCTTAGCTAGCTTTGTCAAAAGATAATAAAAATACTATAAAAGTTTTAAAAGACAATAGAAATATCACTACCATGTTTAGAGAATGTCATGTATCTCTGCCACTGACCACTTTTCATTATAATCCATAGATTATAATATAGTTTCAGAATATCAGAAAGTACAAAGACTATAAAGAATACTCATGTACTTACAATTTTGTCAGTATTACAGTATTAATTTTTTTGGATCTGGTCGACTTAAAGCTATCCAGTTTTATTCAGTCCTGCCCTCAATCTTACGGTTATAAAATAGAATACTGCTCAGCTATAAAGAAGCATAAACTTGAGACTTTTATAGGTAAATGGATGAACTTGAGACCATACTCTAAGTGAAATAACTCAGACTCACATGTGTAAATATCATGTTGTTTCCTTATTGCGAGAAACCAAAAGAATAAATAAGTTCTAAAATGTATAATATATATTGTGAAACGGGAAGAAATTGTTCAGAAGAAAAAAGGAAGTAGAATGGGTGAAAGGGGAAAGGACAGTAGGGAAAAGGGTCAAAATGCAGTTATACTATTAGTGTCTCTTAATTCATTAAAATCAAATTTGCACTAATATCAGTTGCAGAAATTTTTATGCCCATGTTTTATGCCTGAGCAACTACTATAAAGATAACAACATGTAATCCATTAAGTATTGTTATTTTTCTATTAATTTGTTATGAAATTTAGTTTTACTTTTTTTCAAAAAAAAAGAATGTATGGTGAATTAGTACCTCCAGGCAAACAAAAACATTTCTTTCAGATATGATATTTCAGGGGTTTACAGATCACTTCCAGGAATTCGAGCATAAAGCTTATAGCTAGATCTCTTTTGGGAATATATATTTTCTTTTGTTCATTCTCTTCTTGATGTATATTGGGATTTTATGTGATACATCTTTTATAAAAGAGTACTTGTTTGTTAATGAATATAAATATATATATATGAAATTTTGTATGCCACTTCTAACTTCTTTAAAAATATTTTGTATGTCACTTCTAACTTCTTAAAAATTACTAACTTCTTTAAAAATATTGAATAATTCTCAGAAGAGTCCTATATGAATAAATGTTACTATTGTACAAATGAAGAAACTAGGCTATGGGGAGGCTAACTACTGTATTAAAAGTCACACAGAAGGTAGAATAATTGGCACATAAATTAGGCAGTTGGAATTCTGCTCCTTAATAACTATGGCATGCTGCACTACAAAAGTGCATAAGCATTTTTTCACATCCATCATCTTGTACACATGATTAGGGGTTTTCTAAAATATATGTGTAAAAATATGATTACTGTTTTGTAGAAATCCTTCTTCCACAAAAGAAAAATCCTTCCACATAAGATTTAGCATAATTAAGTCCAAAGTGTTAGGGTGTGGACATCTTGGGAGCTACATTTTCAGCCTACTACCGTGCTCTGGAAATTTCATTCTTTGATTCATTCACTTAAAGCATATTCATAATCTCTACTTAGTTCTGAGTACAGTTTTGAGCAATTTAATTCTATTTGTTGTGTCTGCTCAGTCTTACCCAAATTTGTTAGTTTTTTCATTCAATATATAATTTTAGATTCTAAAGTCATCATCAAGTAATTATCTTTGACAGTTTTACGTGGGCTTCAGTAAAATAACATCCTCCAAAAAAGCTTTGATTGTTGCTTTCAACAAGACACCACAGTTGTCACTGACATGGAGCCAATATTTATATTTCATCGATTGGATAAGAGTGTCTTGTATTATGTAGCAATGTATTATCAAGTCTCCCGAACTGTGAGGTTAAACTAAACAATAAAAGGATGTTTTATTTGCTTTTTCCCTCAATTAGTAAGTAGATTTATTTTGTAGATCATCCTTTAAGTTTATCCCCTTAAGACTCCAGGTGCTTCTTGTTTCCTTTTCTACTTCTTTCCTTGTTTAGATCTTAAAGTCTATTTTCTCCCTACATGAACATTACAACCCAAGCATTGATGATTACTGAGAGAGACAAACTCCTTAGAGCTTCTGATTCATTAACTCATAAACTTTACTTTTATGCCATATAAAATTTCCAGTCTCCCATAGTCTTCCCCAGTTGATCTCTTCTTAATTAACGCTATTCTATGGTAATTTCTGTTGTGTGTCTCATACATCAACTTTTGAGAATATTTGTGGTTTATGTACCTTAAACATATAGGAGATCATTTTAGTATGATATTTGACCCTTGTTTAGGAACACTTTTGACTTAATCCCAATTCTGGATTTCAGTATTATTATTTCTACCAGTAACAATTGTGCTACATCAAGATTCGGCTAATTTACCTCAGAGATTCTTAATATCATGATAGAGAAAATTAGAAATTGTTAAAATGTTTTATCTGTAATACCAAATACTAAATGTAAAATACTTAAAACAATAGAACCTCAAGCTTCAACCCAATCATCCTAATTCTTATGTTTCTAATCTCGTTCTAGGATGTGTGCTGTTTTTGGGGGAATCTATTGTCTTCGCCATTCTATACAGTGCCTTGTAGTGGACAAAGAATCTGGAAAGTAAGGATGATATAAGTAACCTTCCTATATTTATGCCCCTAAATCCAGTTGAAAAATACTAATGTCAATTTTTAAAAAAAAATATTCTAGAAAGATCCTCCTTGATATTAATAATATATCAACCTTGATTAAAAGTAATTTGTGTTTAGGTCCTCCGGAACAAAGAAAGTGAGTTCAGAATATAGGAACTAAATTAATTTTCCTGCAGTATGGCCGTACAATAGTTTCTTATCATCTAAGCTTGGAAGACAAATCATTTCAGCTGCCTGGAGTGTGTGATGAGTGATGTTGGTTTTCCTTGTGGCCTTACCTCTTCCTCTAAATGATTTTCATCAGATAATAACAAAGCCCTATGTTACTGCATTTTTATAAGTGAAGCTCACCTAAAAATCCATCCGATTAATCTCTACTGATAACACATGTCACTCCAAGAGAAAAGACTTTAATTAGTTTTCAGATTGGTATAATAAAATATGCTGCCTGGTTGTCTGAGGATAAAATTTTTTATATCAGTATCCAGCCTAACACTGGTTTTGGATTGAAATACAAAATTGCTTTCTTTTTAAAGGAAAATTGAACACTGTTTACCTGTGAATTTTTATATTTCAATTATTTTCTAACATTTATTATTAATAAAATATGTACTTTAAATTACATTAGATACTATTCTACCATTTCTAGGTTTTACACTGAAACTGTACTGTGGCAGGAAGATACGTTGAAATTGCAGTGTTTTTCTTTCATGTCATATATTCTCAAGCCTATATGTCATGTATCACTGTTTTGGGGAGGATATAATAAACAAGAATAAAATGCCTCCATATTTAAACTAGAACCTTAAACAGTATAAGTGTTAAGCTTTTTCTATTCATTTTACAATATAGTCTAAATGGCAAAAATAGGTATTATTTTCTAACAAACTAGTTGTAGTGTAATAAATCAGTATTTTGAGATATGGCTAAAAATCTCACCTCTAGAAACATATAGTACTTTAGTTAAATAAAACGACACATGATTTAAATGGCTTATAAAGCACTTTAGCTCTTTAACAGAAAGATACTATCTATATGAAATGTGATAATCTATGGTAAAAAATATGACCCTAAAGGTCAGGATATTCATGCCTTGATTTGCAAACAGCTCTTTGGATAGAAATACTAAAATATTAGTAGAAATTAGATAGAAATACTAAAATATAACATTCAGCATACAACACCTAACTTATATAGTAAGGTCTATTAACCTTGAAATAAGACAAGACTTAGAATTTTGTCACTACCATAAATGACAGTGGGAACACCCTTTTCTCTGAACCAGTTACTAAAACTGCAACATGAGGAAGACAGATTACGATAATCTGTTTTTCTTTCAGATATGTTATGGTTCAGTTTACTTAAAATTTGTAGAAAATACAGAGCTTTTCCTTAATATTTATAAATAAATAAGCTTGAAATATTTTGTATGCCAAATGTAAATGATTCTCACATGAGATAATCTTTGCCAGGCATGGTGGTACATGTCTGTAGTGCCAACACTTGGCAGGCTGAGGTGGGAGGATCAACATAAGTTCAGTGCCAGCCTGGCCTACATTGTATATTCAAGGGCATTCTGGGCTATATTGTGTATTCAAGGCTGGCCCGAACTACCTAATACTCTGTCAAAACTAAATTAAAAATTAGATATTATTTTTCAGTTCCAGTGAAAAGCAAAAAGAATTATTTAACAACCTATATGTTTCTACTTTTATGAATAAAAGTAAAATAGGACAGCGTCTCTTTTGTGTTATTATCAATTAATAGAATCCCATTTTACCAGTGAACATCATTTTTTAATCTATATTGGTTTTTATTTATTTATTTATTTTTATTTAAAGATACAGACATTTTATATCTGTTATGTAATTCTTATACTGGAAAATTTATTCTGAGTTGTAAATATTGATTTCTATAATAGTAGGACAGTTTTTAAAACTTGCCTTGCATTTATTATAATTGAGGTTTCCACTGTATTCTTAATATGTGAATTGCTTTAGTGATTTTTTATTTTTTTTTTATTTATGAAACAAACATTACTTCAAATTTTAGTGTATACCTGCAATAATTACTACTGGATTTATATTATCTTTTTTCCTTTTTAAAAAATCTATTCTATCAATTCAAATAGTCTCTAAAGCTACTAGCATTGATTCAATGTGGTTTAGGCTAACATGTCTTTTCCAGGACTAATTTGTCATTCAGCATCAAATATTTCATAGAGATAACAGTAATAGAGATTTTGCTTATGACTTAAATATAAAGTGAAGGATAATTTTTTGAGGGAAAAACCCTCAACTTTATAGTTGGATATATCCAACACATCTGTCTTTTTAAGAATTCTAATATAATTCAGAAAATTGTTTTACTTAATATAATTTTAAGTAAGCAATATGTAAATATTTACATTTGTCCCCTTAGGGTTTTATTTTGCTTCTCTTCCCCTATATTTCTATGTGGAACATTTGACATCTCTTTTTCCCTTTTGTTAAGAGATCCTCATTGTTTAGGTCAGAGCTCTAAGTTTATTTTCTGATCCCACAGCCTGGAACCAAATCCTCTGTTAGACTCTCAGTCAGATTCTTTGGTATACTTATTTTATAAGTTCTCTGTAAGTAAAGGAAGGACCTTAGTATTGCATCTCCAGAACAAAGGCAGGTTCCTAGCACCATTATACTCAATAACTTTGACTTAAATGAACAAATGAAAATTAAAGACTTATTGTAGCCCTTTGTGCTTTCTTTTTCTCCATACATTTAGAAAAGTTGGTAGAAGCATAAATGATTATATCACTGAGTTTATTGTGACAAACACATATCAAGGTACAAAGTACTATACAGACTTGGAGAGAATAAATAGGATATTGAATGCACATGAAACAAAAGTATGTGAAATGTGTAAACTAATACACACCTGTTTTCTGCTAAATTGTATTCTTCATTTTGATTTAATTCATTTTTCTTGAAACCCACACTGCCTGGTACTTTCCTCACTATATCATCCTTTGGCACTGCTTTCTTAATTTGAGAAAATGGAGATATATCTCAGTGGTTCTTTTCTAAATTCTAATACTGTAACTTGGTTGACTATTTCTGGAATTAAAACTATTGTTGAAGAGCTTCCTTTTCTGTTTAAGCTATGCTGACTAGGTAAGACTATAAATTAAATTTTGTTGTTTAGCAATGCAGTATTTGAATAAGGTAGATTTGTCTTTAGATCAAATATATCTATAACTAGTACTTTATCTAATTACTTCAGCTAGTGTTCCATGTAGACTTCAGCTATTTCGTAACTAGATAGCTTGCTATGCAAATTTTTTGAAAGCATTTTCTTCAGATGTCAGGAAAATCTATATTTTACTTGTATATTTAGATGTTAATAGTAAGTATGTTTAGGGTAAATAGGTGGCTGATTCTTAGTAATATTTATCATTGCATATTCTCAAATTTTAATATATTCTTTTTGCATAGTAAAGTGATTATAGTCCAGATATGTAACCTTTGCTAGCCCCCATTGCTTTGAGGATAAAGATTTAAATGAAACAGAACATGCTCTTTTGTACAGCGACTGTATTGAGGAGTTCAGGCTTTAAAGTCAAGTAGACTGGATTTGAATGCAGACTTCATGACTTCTTAGCCATGTGAATTTAAATGTGTTTTCTCTGTGCCACAGTTTCATTATTTGGAAAGTGGAGCATTTGGCAGTATTTACCTTATATGTTTATTGTGAATATTAATTGAATGCATAAATCTTAGAATTCCCTTTGTTATTCATATCAGACCTCAATACATGTTACGAGCAATCATTAATGTAATTGGAGACATTACCATCACATGTAGGAAGACCTATTGTGAAGATTGTTCTCTGCTATGCTCTGCTATCAGTTGTACCTTTAAACAAGATCAAATTCGCTGTTTTTAAATTAGTATCTTGGCAGAGTTTTAGAAGAAGCACTATTATGGAAAGAGACTCTTTTACCTCCTAAATCAGACATTCTGTATTTTTTCTATCTTTTTTTCACATACACAAAGTACTTCCATAATCCACCATTTCACTCATCTCATATAAGAAGAAAATGTAATATAATGTCTTCTCTGTGTGTCACACACTGGGGATACAAAGGAAAAACGCAACCATGATCTTTTGCTCTTCAGGCTTACAGTCTACAGGGAGATATTATAAAATAAATACATGAACAAATATTTGTACACTGAGATCTATACACTCTGCAGATCCAATTCTCATTCCCTATTTAAAGAGCTTCAGGGAGTTTATATTACCTCAAAATAAAGTCTAAAACCTTCCTATATGACATGTGGAATGTGATCTGCTCCTGGCTGCCTTTCTAAACTCTTCCTTCATCACTTTCCATTTCATAATCAGATTATGCTTTGAATAGGTCAGATTTTTCATCCTTGGGGCACATCAGCTTAAAAGCAGAACATACTCATTTTTAGTATGCTTTCAGAGATTTTAGTCCATGGCCTACTGTCTCCTAGGAAGAAACGTTAGGGCAGAAAGATATGGTGGAGTAACACTGCTTAGTTCATATCTTCTAGAAAGCAAAACAGGGGATAATCACCAGAGAGGAAGAGCCCAGGGGCCAGATAGAGTACCCAAGGTCATGCCTCTATGACCTACTCAGACACAGAAGTGTGCTTCACTAATCCCCTAGGCAGCTCCCAAGCCTTTCAAATAAACAGTGAAGCATAACCGTTGCATTGAACCATTTGTGAGTCTGACATCCAGACATATCTCCTTAAGCTATGCTTAATCTCCAAATAAAGACAAAAATAAGTTTATAATTCCACCTAACATGATAAACTACCCCGTATACAACTGAAAACAATATAATGTTTTCTTTAGAGTCTCCACATTGCTAAAATGTCAGTATTCTCTGAAACTCAGGGTAAATTTAGCTATGAATCGCTGTACAACTTAAATTACACGTGATTTAGTCCCATTATG